GCACTGCGAGCAGCTCAGTCCCAATTGTGCAAGTGGGGAAAATAACCCCACCAGTGTGGTTCTCTCCTTGGGAGAAATTCCTTAACACACCTCAGATCAGGCCAGAGGCCACAATTCCACATCTCTTGCACAAGGAGCTGTAACACACTTGTTTCTCACATCCAGTTTCTTTTTTTGCCAACCAAAAGGAACAGGATTTAGCTGCAGAAACCCCAGGGGACCAGCAGCTGCCTGTACACATCAATATAATGGTGTGCTGAGAGAGCTTGCCCACCAGGTGAACGCTCAGGTGGTCCCACCTGCCTCCAAACACACTTCTGCTGCTCAAACTAAGCCTCCTTTGTCAAGCAAGCAAGAAACGTGACTAGGGATGAAGAAAAAGAAGTCATTTTTTAAAGTAAGGAAAGAAATTGCAAGGGTACAGATAAAAAAGCTCCAGGGAACGCCCTGGCATCTCCGTGTCTGCAGTTTTTCCATCAAACTCATGGACTGAAGGCAGGCTTCCAAACTCCAGAGCACAATACCCACTTCCCCAGAGCCGCACAGTCATCCTGGCCGTACTCTTAGAGGCTGAACACGTGCACAGGGATGTAAGAGACAAACAGATGTCACAGCCTGCTTGCTGTCTTCCCAGCTCCTGGCTCAAACCTTCCCCAGGCCCTCGCCTCAGCTGGCATCGGATGACCTGGGCAGACCTCTCCAGGCCCTATAAAGCTGCCAGAGGAGACGCCGGCTGCTGGGGTGGTGTAAAGGGTCACACTTTATCCACGGAGCGTGTGGATAGGAAGAGTAACGGAGCTGGAATGGAGTAGAATATAATATAAAGGGGGTTTGGTGTTTTTATGTGTGTGCTACCGTGAGGCTGAGCCTGAAGACAGAAGCTGGGGAGTTTGTAGAGGCAGTAACCTTGTCTACAAATCCTTGTGTCTTCCAGAAGCGAGAGGCTGCTTTAAAAAGGCTTCGTACCACACTACCACATGGAGAGAGCAGCGTGAGGACGGGGAAAGGCCCAGAAAACGAGCACACGGGGGGGATTTTTCACCCTGACAACCCTCATGCTCCTTCTCTTGCCTTGTACCCACGGCCACTGCATACGAGGGGGGATGGCAGCGACTGTGGGCACCCCTCAGACCCCCCAAACCTCCACGCAACCCCCAAATCCTCTCATAACCCTCTCACGACCCCCTCAGACCCCTCACATCCCCCAAACCCCATCACAGCCCCCTAAATCTTCTCACGACCCCCTCAGACCCCTCACACCCCCTCACAACCCCCCAAATCCTCTCATGACCCCCTCACAACCCCCTCAGACCCCTCACAGCCCCCAAACCCCCTCAAGATCCCCCCACACCCCCCAGATCCTCTCATGATCCCCTCACAGACCCCAAACCCCCTCAGGATCCCCTCAGACTCCTCACAACCTCCCCCGGCAGCCCGGCGCCCCGGCCCAAGGTCACTCCCTTCCCCAACTCCCCCCGGCCCTGCCCCCGCCGCCTCCCCCCCGTGCTGCCCGGCCGGGCCCCGCCGCTCTCGGCCGCCGCCCCTCAGCGCGGCCCCGGCCCCCCTCAGGGACCCCCTTCAGGAGCCCGCCGCAGGCCCCGCGCCCGAAGGACTACAACACCCAGCATGCACCGCGGCGCCCAATAGGAAACAGGCGCCGGACTACAAAACCCAGCATGCCCCGCGCGCGCGGCTCAGCTCAACTCCAAGCAGAGCCCCGCGCGCTGCACGCCGGGAGTTGTAGTGCGCCCCAGCTGCGCGCCCCGCCCACCCCGCCGCCTCATTGGCTGCCGCGGCTGTCCCTCAGCGGCCCGGCAGCCAATGGCGGCCCGCGCGCGCGGAGTCATTGCGAGCCGCCGGAGCGGCGCTCAGAGGACGCCCCGCGGCGGGCGGCCCGGGGCTCCCCCGCCTCGCCTCGCCGCGCTCCCCCCCCCCCTCCTCCCGCTCACCTGCGCGGCCACCGCGCCGCCCGCCCGCCGCCACGCCCGCAGCATCGCCCCGCGTGCGCCTCCGCCGCCAGCACCGCCGGCCTCCGCCCCTCACCGCCGGGACCCGGGCAGCGCGCATGCGCGGGGAAAGGGGCGGGCCTTCTCCACAGGGCGGGGTGAGTGACAGGCGGCTCGGCCAATCAGAAGCGGAGGGCGCGCTGAGGCGCGCAGGAGGAGGGCGGCCGCCATTTTGGAGCGCGGCGTGAGGCGGAGCGGGGCCGCGGCTCCTCCCGGTCCTTGTCAGCGCCGCCCTCAGCGTGGAGCTCCCGGGGCGTTCCCCTGGCTCCGCTCCGCCTCCTCCTGTGGCGGCCGGGACATGGCGGCGGCGCTGCGCGGGGCTCTGGCGGGTCGGTGGCTGAGGGAGGGCGGCGGCCATGTTGTGGGGGGGGCAGCGCGGAGCCCTCGAAATGGCGGCGCCTCGGCTCGGGGCTCGCCTCAGGGCCGCCGCCTGTGAGAGCTGTGCTTCTCCGCAGGGCTCCTCCGGCCGCTCGGCAGCTGGGCCCCGCGGGCAGCCCGAGGCGTCGGCGCGGGGCGAGGTGTGCCCCTCAGGGGATTCAGGTGGCTGAGGGAGGCGCCGCCGACGCTGGGGAAGGGGCTGGGGCCCCTCGGGAGCCTGCCCGCTGGGGGCTTCCCCTCCGTCCTCGGCAGGTAGGGGGTGGTCTGCGCGGTGCTGGGGTGATTTTGGGGTGGGGGGAAGCCTCTGGGGGGTGGGGGGGTGAGGAGGCAGGTAGGCATTGCTCTGTGCTGCCTGCCCTCAGCTGGAGCTCACCAGTAAAGCAAGGGAAGGATGGAGCAGGTGAGGAGCAGAAATTCATAGAATCATTAATCTTGGAAAAGACCTCCAGGATCATCTGGTCCAACCACCCCCCAACCACCACTGTCACCACCAAACCATGTCCCCAAGCACCAGGCCCAACCTTTCCTTGAACACCCCCAGGGACGGTGACGCCACCACCTCCCTGGGCAACCCGTCCCAACACCTGACTGCTCTTTCTGACAGAAATGTCTCCTCATTTCCAACCTGAACCTCCCCTGGCACAACTTGAGGCCATTCCCTCAGTCCTATCACAGTGACCTGTGAGCAGAGGCCGACCCCCAGCTCCCCACACCTTCCTGTCAGGCAGTTGTTTTCACCAAGCTTATTCCCTCCTTGGCACCTTAGGCAAGAAGCAGGTGGCCTCTTTCTTGGCTAAGAAGCTACTTACTGCTTTTTGGTCTAATCAAACAGGAGTTAATTACAATCCCAAGTCTTCCACTTGAGCATATTGCTTGAAGGAGGATGTATAATGGTGTATACTTTGTAGGTGTAGACTTGACTTTACAAATAGCCTTGTTATAATCACTGTTTCTCTTGCTGACCATTGATACTCTGAAAGTTCTGAATGCTAATAACAGTTGAGTATGTTTGCTCTTAAATATTTAGCTACGCTTAGAGTAGATGGAAAAGTTGTTCTATAACTTGAAAGATTAATTTATTTCTGTTGAAGCTCAGCAGTGCAGTTAGCATTGGTAGGTATGCTTGCTGAATGATGTGTTGTAACGTGACGTGAATTTTTGTTAATCCTCAAGTCGGAGCACTTCTGATTTCTCATTATGTGAAAAATCCAGTGAGTGGCTTAATGAAAGCGTTGTTTCATTCCTGTTCTATTTCCTCCTCTTTTTTCCTTTAGAGTCACACCTCTGCTTCCAACCATACTTCAGCAGCCCGTGAGGACCGTCACTTACTATAGTTTACGGAAGGGAAAGAGGAAAACCGTGAAAGCTGTCATCGACCGGTTTCTCCGGCTGCATAATGGCCTTTGGGTGAGGAGAAAGGTAAGAGTTTATTTTTTTAAGACAGACAAGCTTTGTGTTTACAGACAGTGGGCTGTTTTCGTTTCCATTAGTAACTAGCATGGAAGGGTGCATAGGGAGACTTAATTTTTTGTGTGTTTTCTTCTGACAGTCTGGCTACAAGAAGAAATTGTGGAAGAAGTCTGCTGCCCAGAAGAAGCGTCTGAGAGAGATGGTGCTGTGCACCAGAACGCAGTGTAAGCTCCTCGATAAAATGACCACTTCTTTCTGGAAAAGAAGAAACTGGTACGTTGATGATCCCTACCAGAAGTACCATGATCGCACAAATCTTCGTGTGTAGAGATTTGTTATTTTTTGCATCTTTCTAGGAAAGAGGTGGTGTCTTGCGTGGTATGGCCCCTGTATCTGAATTTTAGATCATAAATCTAATATGTTACTTTTATAAATAAACATATGCATGTTTATTTATGGTCAGAATTGTGGGTATTGGGGCCCAAAATAAAGGAATATTCAAGACTAAAACGAGGATTGATTTGTGTTTTACTTACAGAGGGTGAGAGCCAAGCTTGTCACCTAAGTGTTCTGAAATCTGTTTGTTTCCTGTGGTTGTGTGTAAGATCATGTATGTGGATGAATACAGTCTAAAATAAAAGGTAGCAGATAACTCAAAACACTTATTTTTTTAAAGAAACGTGTTTAACCTCAGGGTATTTGATGTCCCTGCTTGTTGGTAGCTTGCTACCAAGGAGAGAAGAGTGGGATTTTGTTTCGGTGTCGCTGCCTGTTATGGTACCACAGACACTGTTGCCATGTCTCCATGTTAGCATAGGAAATGGTTACTTGTGGTTTTGCTAACCAATTAAAAACATATTAGCCAAATTTCATGGCAGAACTCCACCATGGGACTGGAATTTTATATTTTATGTTGGTTTTTGAGTAGTGGAATGGCTTCATTGGGTCCTAATCTACATCCGCAAGCAGTCAGCTCTGAGTCTTTCCTTGTTTTTCACGCACTGCACATCTCTGCTCACCTGTGTGTATGGAAGACCACCACTGGTAACTTAGCAAGCATGTGAAATGCAGTAGCTTCAAAACGTTTCCTAATGATTAACCCCTTATTAATTAGGTACTCCCTGTTTGTCAGCTCCAGCGCCACCGGCATGGCAGGAGATGGTTGCCTACCCGAGGCTGTGGCGTTTCAAAGAACTCACGGGTTACGCAGAGTGTTCAGTAGCTGTATTTTTTTTTCCAGTTCATCATACAGAAAAGTTCCGAAGGACATGCAGCACTTAGTGAGTACATCTATATACAGTCAGCCAGAATTGAGATAAAAATAATACAGCAGTCAAATAATGATTCTGGCCTGCCAGATACATTGAACAGACTAAGGATGTCATCGTCGTTGTTTTCCTGAAAGAAAAGATTAAGACTTTACTCAAGATGTGTATCGAGCGGTGTGACAAAACCAGTGAAACGTCAGCCTCTGGAGTCGTGACGGCCGCGCTTGGGAGGCTTCAGCACAGGGCTCTTCTGCTGCTCGCAGCAAAGCAATCGCATTGAGTACACAGCGACGATCCCTACTCAGTTTGGATAAACACAAATCCTGACACCGCGTTCTCTGCTTCAAGTACGATGCCAGATGCAGAACAGGTACCCCAAACAACCAGCAGGAAGGGGACTGTGATTAACGAGCGCTCTGTCACGAGTGCAGGGGCTTCGTTAGGTGGGAACACGGCGTTCAGGGCGCAGGCGGAGGCAGCAGGTTGTTTACACCAGGCTGAGGAGCGCTGTATTTCCAGCAGCTTTCTCCCTCTCACTAGCAGTAAATAACCTGGTTTTCCTTCCGTGCTGGGTTTGCACCTACACAATTTAATTGGTGGGGGATTGTTCTGTGGTTACAGTGATAAAATGAAGTCCCTCTGGCTGCTGTGATCCTGATTCAGCAGTTGGCAAGCACAAACTGCGCTGACACTGCCTGCTGTGACAAGAACAGGCACAGAGGATGGGACCGGGCTGCCCTGAGCCTGACGTCCTCAGAGCTGAGGTGAATTTATGGTAAATTGGTGAAGTAATTCACAGCCCCATTTACCACGGACCAGATACAGTTTCTCTTCAGCCTCATTTTTACTTAAAATACTGCACCTTACGCTTGAGCCTTGTGCTGGCTGAAGGCTGGGAGCTCTAGAGGCTGCCTTTCCCAGGGCCTGCATTTATTTGCTCACCTACAAACTCCTTGCCACGAGGGGTCAGCAGCAGTGCAGGCAGGCCGCTCACTGAATCAGGCTCCGAAGCAAAGCTGGAGAAAGGACTTCATGGCTGGCGTTTATTTCAAATAAACAGCCAAAGGGTGAAAGGACAGACCTGGGGCAACACCTGTAAAACCTGTAAACAGCCTGCATGGGGAGGAGGAGAAACCAAAAGCACACGGCTGGTCTGTGGACAGAACACTAGGGCACTACGTGGACGTGGTGAGGCATTCACGTTTGTCTATCTATACACAAATATACAGCTCAGTTGATAATTTAATACATTATTATTATTTTTTTGCCAGACATACGAAAAGGTTTATTTTTCTCCTTTATACAGTGAATGTTTTGAGAGATATAAGGCAACTCCCTTGTCAACGATTTCACCTCAGCACTTAAGAGAATCTAAACAGTCAAGTTTACAATAAAACAGCAGATTAGACACGATTAATATTTTCAGTGAGATTCAATGTTAGCGCAGCGTGTCTGAGAACAGAATTTGTCAGATGCTGTTGTAGCTCTATGGTTTGTTGGTTTTTTTGGCATAATTGAGTGCAAACTTGTCAGCTTTTTATCTTATGGCAGCCTATTGCATAGCAGGGAAACGTAGCTTGCTTGCAACAGGATTTTATTTCTGCTAACACCGCAGGCAGTTTTTTTTCTTTCTTTTTAACGCTTGCCAAAATAAATCAAACAAACTCCAAAGCTGCTTAAAAATAAAACACACAAGCTGAGCTCCTCAAAGCATTTGCTGACTATGTTATAAGGACTGACTCTTCTGTAAGTGCTATTTAGGACTCTGGGGTTTTTACAATTTACTTTCTGAGGACTTCTTCCTTCTCACCCATTGCAAGCCACGATTAATTAGCACACGTAAAGGAAATAAAATTCTCCGGCGATGGGGCCAAATGTGGCAGACTCAGGAAGCACCTGCTTGCTTTTCCCACTTCCCAGCCAGGTCAGAAAAATATTTGTGTGCACGCACAGCCTATTTCTCTCATCCCCGCATACCTGGGAAGCTCTGGGGGAAAGTTTGGGGCTGCCTCGGGCAGGGACAGCCGGGATCGTGATGCGCATCCAGCAGAGCAAAGGCCACTGCAGCTTTCTGTCTGAGCCTGCTGCCTTCCAACAGGCTGTTGGCATCCTGGGCTGCCCCTGCAGTAGCCAAGTAGCCCTGCTCGTGGTGCAGGCTGCGCAGGGATCCCTCAGTGAGGGCAGTTCTGGGTAACGCGAAGGGTTTCAGCTAGTCTAGGGCCAAGAGCAAACACGAGGGGCCACGCGCTTAACGGATGTGTGAATTCACATGCGGAACACTTACAAGAGACACCAAGCACAAATACACAAACCCTAGGACGTCTTCCCCTCCTTTTACACATCTACATGGACACAAACACACTGCGGCTCTCACCAACCCCCTGCTCCAGAAGGAAATTCTCCACACAAAGCTCTCCTGGCTCAGGCTGATCAAAATTCAGGCTCCCCTTTCACCGCCTCGATGAAAGCATTCACCTCGCACCTCTCTTCCTCGTCCTCTCTAAGTTCTGGCTCTTTAGCGCGGTGGTTGGCTCAAAGGAAGAGAATCCTTGCAGGAGGAGAATCGACATCACAGCTCGGCCTTCCCTAACGAGTCCTAACGAGGCGTTTTGAACAGCCAGAATAACAAAATATTTGTTCCACCACCACTGCCTTGAGGAGGAAGGGGAGGGAAGAGAAATCCGTGGCTTCCCCAAGCCCCCTTCCTTAATGGTAAAGCCACAAATCAACGCGCTGTCCGTGTAGCATCGTGAGCAGCTGAGTGTTTTTGCCTTCCACAGAGCCAGAGCCACGCGGACACACACGAGAACTGTAAATGCACGGCCCGACGGGATTAGCACGAGGAAGGGGACGCTCTGCAAACAAAAGGAGGGCTCTGAATCTGCAGGGCTCCGTCAGACCGCCCTGACCGTGCCACCGACAGCGCGAGGAGCGTGGGACGGGGTACAGAGAGAGGAGAGAGAGAAAGGCCGTGTCTACAGCGCCGCACGTTGAGCACATCCATCCCGCTGCTGTTTCCTACGTGGTTATCGAGGAGCTCGTTAAGGCAGAAGAGAGACATTCTGTGGATCTGGGTGCGATTGGCTCGTTGCACTCACATTGTTTCGGTGGCAGAGGACGAGGTACTTTTCTTCCTGAAGCGAGGTCTGAGGGTCCTAGGCGGTGCCTGCAGAGGCAAAACAGAGAGAAAATATCATCAGTGTGTGAGGAAATGTTGGTTTATTGCCTTAAAACTCACCCGTCTGTGTGGCACCTCTGTGATAACAATCCTGTTTCAGGCATGAAGAAAGAGAGAACTATCTCTTGGTCTTGCAGCTCATTAACAAAGCACCAGCTGAGGACTTTTTTTTTCTTGAGGACCTTTCCGAAAACCTTTGCAGCCCTTACCCAAGCCAAACCAACACCTGCCCCTCTGGTTTAAGGCATGGCTGAAGAGCCCTGATCCCACGATGGTCAAAGCAGCCCGGGGAAATTGGTGCAAATTCCTGCAGCCTCTGGATCCAGAGAGCAAAGCGGTGCTAGGAAGCCCACTGTGGTGTTTCCAAGCGTAGACAAGTAAGCAAACAACAACAAATGATGTCTGCGGTACATGATTCTCTCTGAAAAGCTTCAGCTTGGCCCTGGCTCTTGTCAGAATCACAGAGTAAATGCTTACCAGCTGCTGCAGAGGAGCACAGCTGCTCTGAATTTTTACCCCTGCATCAGGGTATCAGGGATCCTGCCACAGACAGAGATCCACCCGGGCTCTGAGCTGCTGCCTCGGTGTCCGTCTGTAAACCAGGAGCCCTGCGATAGCTCCTGCAGCTTGGCAGAGGGCTTCTTTGGGAAGCCAGCCCGCTCTTAAAGCAAAGCAGCCATCAGCTGCCCAGTAAATATCCTAAATCAGTCCTAAAGTCCTAAGCGATCCCCTGAGCCTGTGATTCTCCATCCCACCAGGAGGAGATGGAGAGGGAACCAGATTCCCCTTCCCCACGGTGAGATCTCCTGGCTCAAATCCCAGCGCTACAGCAGGGCTGCAGGCCTCGGCTCCATGCCCAGGGCGTTAACAAACCATATTTGTTAATCCCAGGCCTGATTCAAAAGCTGTTGAAATCCCAAAATCGCTGCTTTTGGTGGGGTTGGCTGGGTGCGCACTCAAGCAAGAGGGGCCGGGCTCTGAGCTGGGAGCTCCCTGGCTGTGGGTGCCAGGCAGTTCTCCCCCCGAGAACCTTGTCTCAGGGATGAAAAGAGCAATTCCTCTCCAGATAGGAAAAACAAGGGGTTGATACCCACACGTGCAGGAAACTGAGCAAGACTCACCCCTGAAAGCCCGGGCAGGTTATTTGCTTTTGGACTCTGCTTTTAGACCAAAGAAAGGAGTTCATTCAGCTAGCCAAAGAACATCACAGAAGGAGGAACCTCGACAGCAGAAGTACCTCAAGGGGCTGATCCTTCCTTTTGGGCCTTTTGTTGGTGGATGCGCAATCCAACAAAGCGTTGTCCTCATCATCTGAGAACACAGAGCCTTGCGTTTCACAGTTTGCCTGCCGGGGCTGCTCGTATTTATCGTATTTATCCTTCACATCTACTTAACGTGGCCGGTTACGGGCTAAACGTGGAGACAAAGCAGGAGGAAGATGAGCCATGGTTCGAGTCGCGCCCCGCCAAACCCCAGCTCACTGCAAGGCCATGCACCTCCCGGGATTAATGGTCAGAGGGTCACACTGCACACTCAGTAACAGCAGTTGAGGGGTTAGAAATCAAAAGGACCTCGTTTGCAAAGACATGACAAGCTCTACCTGGATTATTTATGTGGAATTTAGACTAAATTCACGGTCTGGTTTTCTGGAGGTTGACTCTAGAAAGAAATTGGTTTGTTTGGCTCAGGGATAAGTGGAATAACTGATTTCTTGAATTGCTGATTCATCCACCGTTCCTACATGTCCTGTTTTTTAGGAGCATCCTCTGAAGACACCAAGGGAGTGCTGGGGCACAGCCTGGGGAGAGCTTCCTGGGGTGCACAAAGTGCAGCAGCAACACCTGGCTGCAAGCTGGGAGAGCTCCAGCCTACAGCCCAGCCTAAAATCCACTGAAGTGAACCAAAAACTTCAACGGGCATTGAAAGGACTCTCAGCAGGCTGTGTTGTTACGAGGATCAGTGGGGAAAAGTCCTCTCCTGTCCCTAGAGCAAACCCCACAGCCTGCTGCCCCTGATGGATCTGAAGGCAGAGTGTGGGGCCGTGACTACAGAGCGCTAACACCTGCTTGGTGCTTCTCCTCCTCGTGCTTTACAACATGATCTTTGCAGGACTGGTTATTGGGACAGTGCATTTGCTGCCTCAAATCCAGGCAGTGAAAAAAATAGGTGGTTTTCAGCAGCCAGCCCAAAGCAAGAGCTCCAGAGGGGACACCCAGCACCACCAAGCTCCCTGCCTCTCTGCGAGCAGTTTCTTCCCAGCAGGGCTGGAGCTTTCTGAGCTTAACTGCCAGTCACGTTTATTTTTTTATTCTAAAACATGGCAGGAGTGGACGTGTTTGGTGCTTAGATGACGTGAATCACAGTTGCTGGGTCCCTTTTTTATAAACACACATAGAAATGATGTTCTTGTCTCACAGAAATAATGTACTTTGTGTCTCAGCCTCACTGCAGGACTCTGCTGGAGCAAAGACTCCAGCAAAAGGATTCTTAAAAGTCTGATCACGACCGATTCATGACCCTTAAAGGCTCAGGCTGTGGCTGCTGCATGTAGAGTGTCTCTACCCCTAGACCACCACTCACGTGGGCAGGCTGGGACGCACCAAGACAGCTTTCAGGGAGAGCTGGAATTTGACTTTTATCCCAGTGCAGGGACGTTGTATTTTATTTCCAATCTTCTCCTTCCACGTGGGAAGTGAGATATCCAGGAGAAGCCTCGCTTGGGTCCTCTTGGCTGCAGGAGATGGCCCTCGGTGCCTCTCCAAGCCAAGGACAGAAGGAGTCAAGCATGTTTTAAAAGCTTTGTTCGGAGCTTGGGCACAGCCTGTAGGCGCTGTGTTGTGCCTCCACGAGCAGCAGGGCAGATGCACAGCACCCCCGTGGGCTCCTCCACTCCCCCCAGCACCCCGAGCATCCCGTCCCTGGCCTGGAGCTGGTCTCTGAAGCCTGGGGGAGAGCTCAGCCCCCAGGCTGGCCCACGCTGCTTCAACCCCACAGCAGGGAGGTTCCCAAAATCCCCTGGAAGCTGGGCTGAGGCTCCAGGCAAGGCTTCACCTCCAGGAGGCTCTCACTGCCCACCTTGGAGCCCTCTGGGTGCCTTCACCTCCCACCTCTCTGGGAAAACCAGAAAACAGCTGGGAAAACCGCTGCTGTCCCAGGCTGAAGCCGCTGCTGCCTCCTGCAAACATGGCTTTTTGGCATCCGGACCAGATCATACTCCTCTACGCCCTAAGGCAAGGCAAAATCTGACTGTAAGTGGTCTAAAGAGCCCTTAATTCCAGCCCCTCTCACCCTCTCCTAATTCCTTCCAAGGGAACCCGTGTAGTATAACCAGCACGTGGGTGGAAGTCCTGAAGTTGGGCATATTGCAAGCTGGAGCATTTTGCAGAGCTGGGATCAAAGCTCTTAAATGCTCCACGGGGAACAGCCCAGCATGGGCAAGGAAACGTGGGGCCAGATCTTCGTCATCATTACTCTCGGTGATTCTACACGGGCTGAAAAATCTCCCTGGCAAAACCCTTCTGGCACTACAAAATGATTCTGGAGCAGGCTGCCTTGCCAGCACTTGCTCTGTTACTGACTAGACTAACTCTTACGTGGGTTTACACACGTGTAACAGAGGTCAGGACCTCTCCCAGTAGCTCCAGACGAGCAAAGGACTTTGATAAATCAATATTTGGACACGGAAATATTTGGATATAGTGGGAATCAGGCTCCCCGGTGCTTTGGAGAGGTGGATCCCCTTTATTTTCCCAGGCAATATTTCTTGCTCTGGAAGTCCTGGGGCACTCGGACAAACCAGAGGCACAGACTAGAGCAGCAGGAACAAGGTGGTGTATTGTTAAGGGAAGACGAAGTCACTCCAAAGCTAAGCCTTTCTGGGGGATCCTCCAGGATCTGCACTTAGCAGGAGAGCAGCTATTACGTGATGGTGATCAGCTTCGTTTCCCTGGAACAAAGACAAATTTGCCATCACTTCCAAAAGGCACTGACCCAGGTCCCGTCCTTCCCCAACACTCCTCAGCTGCCAAACCCAGAGCAGCCACAGAGCAGGGCCAGGCAGGAGCTCAGCTCTCTGAAGCTGAAGTCAAATGCAACCACGGCAAACCAACATCGTCAACACAGGCACTGGTTAATGCCAGCACAGCCCACTGAGTGATTAAGGTGTTAAGTGCTAGGCTACTCCAAACACCTCAGAAGAAAACCCATGCGATCCGTAACACTTACATCAGCGTCCCGTAATATTTACATAGAGAAAAAGGAAAGAATAAACTGTTAGGGGAGGGCATTTGGGTGGAGAAGGGGAAGGAGCAGTGGGTTCAGAGCACAGAAATCTTCGCCTTTGCTTTCATAACATCTGGGGTTGAACTGGAGGTTATTAAACAGCCATGGGTGTTTGGACTTGGTTGCTAAAATGCAAACGTACTCGAAGAGCCTACTGGTTTTCTGGGGATATTACTCAAATAAATATTAAAATATTTTTAAATACCGGAGAAACTCCCAAGTTGCCACTGGTATGGGTGCGAACTGACACAAGTCACACCTGTAAGAAATTGATTCAGCATTTAAGAGGGAAATTTTGAGGCATAAAACGCCTGGAGCAACAGCAAGTCGTTGTTTGGCCTGTAAGCTCAGCGAAAGAAAGGTTAAAAATATATATATCTGTAAATCCCCAGCACGAGAGCTGGGAGCAAAACTAGGTAGGAAGATGAATGAGGTGACCCAGACTGTTTCAATGGTTTCATTCGGGGAGCTCTGACAGCCCCTGTGTAGGGCTGGCAACACCGAGGCCAGGCTGGCTGCCAGGCTGTGGTTTTGGTGGCTGGCACGGGGCACAGCCCTGCGGTGCCATGTCCACCAAACGCTCCCCTTGGTCATTCCCAGAGTCCCTGCACGCTCCTTGCAACGCCTGAGGCACCCGATCAGCATTTCAGTGCCAAATCCCCCCTCGGATACATGCAGCCGTAGTTCTCCTGATATCCACTGGATGATAAATCCCTTCACTCTCTACAAAGACTGAATTTTCCCCCCCTCTCAGCCATGCCAAGGAAGCTCTCCCCAGCAGCACGGGTTAGTTGCGATCCCAGCACTGACTGGGAAATCGGTTATTTCTTAAAATTGGTAATTTCTTAAACACAAGGCCCAAGCAGGCTCATTGGACATCACCCAGCACGTCAGCATTTACCAGAAGGCAAGCAGACATCCCTGGAGATTTTCCCCCTGTCCCTCCCGAAGGGGAAAGCAAGCCCCCAGGGAATTGCCTTGCTGTTCCTGGGGGCTGCGGGCTGCCTTTCCACAGGCCTTGGACGTGGAAGAGATTTGTCAGAAACGTGGCTGCAGCCCTGGGAGGAGCTCGGAACGAGGTTTTTGACCGAGTGAACAAGAGCAAGAGGAGCTGAGACAGCAGCTGTCGAGAAGACGCGGGAGGATGCCCATGCTCGCGTTTCGTGGAGGTACCAGAGCAGGAGATGAAGGTCCTGAGCTGTGGTCCTTGGCCCAAGCTGCTGTTAACACGTCGCTGCCTCTCTCAGGATACTACCGAGGATATTACCTAGGGTGTCTCAGGATAGTACCCAGTACCTCCTAAGAGCTGTGGGGTTGTTGTGAGTCAGACAGCAAGAGGAGCAATTCCGTTTCACCTGCAAGAGCACTGAGGGAACTGCTCCTGCCAAAAAGGCTGAGCTATGACAGCCCGTGACATCCTGCTCGATGTCAGGCTTGCCCACCTGCCCCTTTGGATGATAACCTCCTTGGGAACGAGCACTTGGCGTGTTTGTGTCCTGAAAGTGGCCGCCCAAAGATCTGAACCAAGGGAAGATCCCTGCCAGCAGTGCAGAACGACTCAGTCCTGGCTAAGCAAACTCGGCTTCTCTCTTCACCCTCTTTTCTTTTCAGCTTTGAGAAAGAACTCAAGGGAGCGGGCAGCCCCAGCCCGTGCAGGCAGAATGGACCCTGGGGCTGGAGCCTTGCAGTATTCCTATTGACACGGGTTATGTCAAGGAAAAAAAAAAACAAGGCAGGCTGATCTGAGAGGCAGAGCACTCAATTTAAACCAGAGCAACACGACTTTGGGCCCAGTTGGTAAACGCACTGGGCTAATTACTGCTGTAGCATCATTAAATGAGTTCCCTGAGATGAATTCATGCTGATTAAGCACTTAGGGATTTGGTGATTCTTTTATAAATACCCCCTAAAGAGGCAAATCCATAAAATCGTTTCAGGCTCAGATTAGAAGGGTGCTAATAATATGTCCTGTGAATCCTGAGCGCTTTCGGGTTTGGGTAAGCAGAGGCAGCTTTAAACGGGCTTCATTCTCCTGGAATGGCACGCTCAGTGTGCAAAGAGCTGGAAAAGGAGAACAGGGAGGGTGACAAACCAGCTGCAGGGCTCGATTTGCCACCGACTCGGTGTGCAAGGGGACAGAGGGTCGGGCTGGGATCACCAAACATCACTGCTGCGTGATGCTACATGGCACAGCGAACACGAAGCACATGAGCCGAGGTGCCCAGGAATTGCCCAAGTCCCTTTCCACCACCCCAAGTTTATCAATGTGAGCGGTGCTGGGGACAGAAAGACGTTTTCCAAAAACATCTCTAGCACAAAACGAAGCAGGGAGAGTCCGTTCGAGCGTATTTTATCACACCAGGGTCTGCTCCTAGGCTCTGTGCCACTTATCCTGCCCGTCCCAAACGCAGATGTCCTGCCCATCACACAGAAACGTGGGCCAGGCCTTCGGGAACAGAGCAGGGCAGGAGAGAAAGGAGGGAGGGTTTTCTCCAGGGAGCCCCCCGTGTCAGTCGGGTGAGCACTGCCATCAGCACACACACACACACGGCTCACGGAGGGGCTCGCAGCCCGGCCTTCCCCTCGCTCCCTCCCTGGTGTTAGGGCAGGCGGTGAGTGAGGGGCAGCAGGAGCCAGGCTGGGGGACACGGCCATGCCCGGGAGGGACGCAGGAAAACCGGCACTCACCTCGGAGGAGTCGGCACACCGAGCAGCACGTGCACGCTGGAAGAGGAGCCGAGCGTTAGGAACTCACCCAGGTAAGCCTCGGGAAATGCTCAGCGGTGGCTTCCCCTGCTGGGAAGTCCCGAGGTGGACTCCAGGGCTCCCGTTTGTGTCTCTCCGCACCAGTGCAGAGCTCGGGGCTCACCTGAGGCTGTGCTGACGGGTGCTGAGGCTGCCACTGCGTGCCCTGGCCCTGCTCGCACATCACGACACAGGTTTGGTGCAGGGGGCTGAGGCAGGACCTCTGCACGCACTGCAGTCACCCACAGGGCTTCTGGAGGCATCCAGAACCACTTAGGTTGGGAAAGACCTCTTAAGGTCATCGGGTGCAACCTCTAAAATACATTCCTAGATCCCCAATCTTAAATCACAGGTCTGAGGACCCGTCCCAGGTCAAGAGCTGCCTGGCTGTGGCCTTTGTACAAAAGACAGGAGGCTGGGCCAGCTCGAGGGGTTCTTAGCAGGGTTAGCTTCTGATTTTACACAGAGTCTGCTGAGTTTTGTGGGTTTAGCTTTTGATTTTACATAGAAGGCAACTGCTCTCAATTTTATGATGATTTATTCTTGGAGAGCTCCTACAACAAGATTTATGCGGGCTGTTCTCAGACACCTTGCTGGAGTTTTTCTGGAGAGTGGAGACAGAGACACCCGGGCATCTCCCGAGCACTGATACTGCCACACCTCTGCTGTGTACTGCAAAGCCCTCAGAGCTGGAGCTGGCCTTCAGCCCTGCCTCTCCTGTGCTTCTGCTTTGAGGTCACCCCAGCTGAGGCCGAGCTCTGCCTGAGGAAAGCTTCAGCAGAAAGGGCACTCGCTCCGGGCACTGCGCTGGGATGTGATACTCGGCCCAGGCAGTGCAAGCTCTGGACACCGATGTCCCATCAAGCGAATGTGCTCGCTGGAGGATGTCCCTCTGACTGTCCCAAAATAAAGGCTGGCTCCAGCGCTCACACTGGAGGTTTCAGCTGACATCAGCAACCACAATATGTCTGCATCAACCCTGGGGCTGAGCTCTGTGGCCAGAATCCCACTCCTCAAGTCACAGCAGGAGGGAACGAGCTTTACCTGCACTGCTCGGGATGTCTCTAAGGCAGTAAGAGAAGGTTACGAAGTGCAAAAGCCCCCCTGTTAATACAGACACTTCTGTATGTGGATTGTAACCGGGCATTTGCCAGAAAATCAGGATTGCCTTGAAAAATATTGGGAAAGGTGGTTCTGGGGCTTCCAGATCTCTATAAGGACGAGCAGCCACACGACATTTACAGTTCCCAAACGCAAGGGGCAGCTCTGCCCGGAGGAGAAGCACTGGTTGGGACACACATCGAGGTTAAAATATCCCCGGCTGCCAGCAGGCTGCCAAGAGGCTAAATGGAGAAATGCTGAGCTAGGAGCGAAGTGAGGGATCGGGTAAAGAGGACAGGTGGCCGGCCCGCCACACGCAGGAGGGGCAAGCCCTGGGTGCGTGTGTTTCACGCACGTGTCTCAAGGCAGGGCAAAGCAGACGCTGCTCCTCGTGTCCTCTGCGTGTGGCTTTCGGCCGGGTGCAGGGAGGAGGAGGAGGAGCAGGGTGTTTCTGTGGGATGGGTGTGAATATGGCTCAGCTGTCGGCACAAAAGGCAGCGGGGACGGCGGGTTAAGCTCGCCGAGCATCTCAGCTATTGCTCAAGCAACAGCACAGCTGCCTTCGGTGCCTGGCTAAAGGGTGGCTGCAGCTACTGAAAAGGCAGCAAAAGGTACAGGAAAGGAGGAGCTAACTCCCCTTGTCTCAAACTCTGGCACATTCTATGTCTTGACCTCATGAGACACTCTTCGGAGGGCAAAAATAACCCTTCGCCCCTGGTCCCTGCTCACCACATGCCGAGCTCCTCACGCAGCGATTCCCTTCTGTCAGGAGGGAATTCAGAGGGTCACAAATCAGGCTAACCAGCACCAGCCGTGTTATAAAAAATCACAACAGTGGAAATGAAACAGGCCGAGCAGTTGTTTACTGCAGGCAGGGTACAGCACGGTCCTGCAGCCAGCCTGTGGCCAGAGCCAAAGCCCGGTGGTGTCGGGAGAGTTTTCTCGGTGGGCTTGGAAGCACGGCCGAGAGATGTGAAACCAGAACCCAAGCCCCTCCCAGTGCTCACACTGTGGGAGCAGGTTTCATGCTGACAAACCTGAGCTTCAGCTGTCTCCTGTGTGCAGGGGAGGCAGCAGACCTCTCTCCATCCCTGTCCTTCCAGATCGCTTTCCTTTAAACACCGCATCTGCTCTTAAACACAGGACTGGGGCTGAGCAACACCAAGCCCCACAGCACATCTGGCTGCTGTTACAGTGCTCAGGGTGTAGGGACTCCTCTGAACTGTAATCTTGACCTAAAGAGCCATCTCTTGTCTCTGCCATGTTGTTTTGAGTGCAGCTGTCCTTCCATGTGCCACTCGTTCAGTGGCAAAGCTGGCTTGAGGAGCCTCCTGTTCCTCACCACTTGGCTTCATTCCACATCTCTCCACAGAGTTTTTTGGAGCTCCCCTGTGAGGTTTAGCAGCAAATTGGGCTGAGTTAAAAATAACCCCACAGAAACTGTAAAAGAAAGTATTTCTTATCGGAACCAAACGCTGAATTAATTCACTGCAGGTCCCACAAGCCCCTGGCTTAACCAACAAGAAAAAATATAGACGTGTAAGGAGAAAGGTCAACACCCAAGAAACCAAAACCAGGAATGCTGCCAGAGCTGTCACAGGCAGCAGTGCGGGGCAGTGTGTGCGGGAGGGCAGGCAGCAGCACTGCTTCCCCACGACACCCTCCCAGCTCAGGGACTGCCACAACCCGAGGCCAAGAGCAGCAGGGCAGCTCCCCGGCAGGATTTCTTGTGAAAATCAAAGAGACGCCTGACAGGATGAGAAAATAACTCCTGATATTCCCAGGGCTGGCTGGCCTGCTCCATGGCCTGAGGGCAGCTCTTCTTATCGTAAGGCTCCTGCTCTCTCCTTGATGCTGCTGCCTCTCATCCTGAGAAAATGAAGAGCCTGGGCTAGATGGCAAACAGCTTCTTCAGCCCTTGTGCACCCCTGAGAGCCACAGGAGGGAAATAAAGGGAGTTTTCAGAAATGTTACAAAAGCAGTGCCGCAGGCAGTGTGTGCGCACTGCTTCATCAAAAACTGTAACCCCTGCACAACCGAGAGATGCTCACACACGCTCCCAGGCACGGAGATGCGCTTCTGAGCATGTCCAGACAAAATAACACTCGGGGTTCCTGTCCCTGTTGCACCTACCGATCCTTTGGAAGCTCGGGCAGTGGCTTTGGGAGCTGCACTCGCAGGGGATTGCAGTGGGTTGGTGGGAATGGAGGGTGCAGGGAAATGGGTGAGTGCAGGAGCACCGCAATGAACAAATGGCAGAAGAAGGGCTATGGGCATGGCGCCCAAATCATCACCATCCCAGCACACCCACCTGCAGTTTCTCAGATGCCTGGATTGGAAAATAAAGGCTAGAATAAAAGAAAACATAAAATGGGGACGTTTTGGTTGGCTAGAAACTTCTCAGGAGGTAGTGACAAGGCAGAGCGCTGTTACTACGACTGAGAAACCTCCTGGAGAAATGGGGACCAATCCACAGGCAGCACTTTTTCACCGATCAGGTATTTTACGGGGTATATTCACTGATGTGAGGTGTACAGGAAAGCCACGTGAGAAATATGCTAAGGTATTGACCCTGAAATGCAGACCCTTCCTCCTGAGCTCCACTCTGCCTCGCTTGCATACACAGGACCTGTTTGTTCAAGACTTCCCTGAAAGCCTCAATAAAGCAGGATTTCTACTGCAGGTAGCATCTGCAGGCCCAGCCAGGCTCTCTATTAATGTAAGCTGGTTTTAGGTATCCCAGCTACTGCTGTCAGACCTTCTGGGGGCTGGGGGCTTCCAAGACCTTTTTTTTTTAAGAAAGCAGAGCCCTTCAGCTGAGTCATCCTCCTGTCAAACAGGCCGGGGAATTTTTGCTGACTCTCTCTGATGTCAGACCGAGGCAGTCCCATTATCTCTAAGCCAGGAATATAAAGGAGAAGGCTAAAATTTCTGTGCGAAAACAAAATCCATCAAAATATCCATCTAAACAAACATGGGATGTGAAGCAGTAAGGCCAGGTCTGGCCTTGGCGTGCCTATAACAGTGCTGGCTCCACTTGAACACAACACTCAAGGCGTGATACTGTCTGACTGAGAGCTCACACTCACTGTGACTTTGTTCAATTCTCCCCTCAAATCATTTTGGCTACATACATAATTGTGCCCACACAAAACAGGAGAGATCCACCCAGCACGATGCAGCCACCCGTGGCTGAAATCCCCAGCTGGAGGTGCCAGGCTATGCTGGCTGTGGTGGATGAGGGAGGTCACAAAGGGAGATAGGAGAGAGAGTTCTCAGAAGATTTTGCAAATCTGTGTCAATTTCATTAAGAGAAGAATTAAAACCAAATTCTCAATTTTTTCAGAACAACAACAAAAAAAAATCTGATAAACACTAGACTCAGTTTGAAAAATCGATGAACAGATCCAATTTTTCACAGATCCACTTTGACATTTCCTCCTGCAGCACAGAAACCAGATCAAAATCAGAAAATTGTATGTGTTAAGAGCTGAGTTTGCTGCCTTGAGAAAAAAATACAAAAAAAAAAAAAAAACAAAACTACGAAGACTGCTCTACACACCCTGGCATTAAGTAGATTATGCTTTAATTGTGCCATTTGTTATTTTGCTCTACATTACATGTAATTTGGTTTTAATGTTTATTTTTTTGAGTAGGAGTTTTCTATTCTGTGTGACCACTTTACCTTCAGACTGTTTACTACAAGCAAAAGCAATATGTGCTACGTGCATACAAGACCCTACATAAATATCAAATAAAACCACTGCAAAGCTGCAATCAAATTAGCTGTTTCAGTCTATCTATAAAGAAAAAATATTCAACAGATGATGCTAAAAAAATAAAGAGAAGTCTACAAGCTATAATTCTCAGCATTTGTAAAGGGCTTGAAAGAAATTTTTAAGAAGGAAGAAAACCCCATTTCTAACGCTTTCCAAAATTAAAGCAAACTACAAGGGGTAGAAATCTACACAGGCTTGGGACACAGTGAATGTCTGCACAGACTTCAACAATGATGAAACTTTTAAATTTCGAACTTACCAGCCCACGTTTCACAAACTATCAAGACAGGCTTGCAACCCTCTGTGGTTTCTCATCCCAGCAGTTGAGTTGCATGATCTTTGGCAGTGTCTGGGAATTCCTGCTTGGGACAATGCTCCATCTCTCAATTTTCTAGCAGAACTAATCTGCACAGGTATCCCTAATTAAATGTTTCGGATCTAGGCTCACTAAGATTTCTGTAACCGAGCTTGAAATAAATTTTCACAACCAAATCCTCAGGAACGGGTTTTATTCCCACCACGCTGCTTCTCCCCGTTGTTCTTTCAGAATTTGAAAACAAACCTTTGCTTTTCAGGGACACTTGCTTTCCGTAACAGCACCTGTGCACACATCCTTATAATAAATAGCTGTCAGACCTTGGTCTCTGTTTCTAGCAGTGCTTTGTACAGGTTTTATTTCTCATCAGGCTTCATCAGCGATGAAGTTCTTGACCTAGGGCTGTCAAGGGACAGCTACTGTACTGTTCAGTAGAAGTAAGAGTCGGACTAATTCAAACCAGATATCCATTAGAACTCATATTTATGTTTAGATAGCACAAAAGAGAGAGGTTGTATCACCATACGGAGGCTCTGATGATAGTTATGACCCTTGCCCACTATCTTGCATTCTTATCCCTGCTTTTGACACTTCCATTAGCCCCTCTTGTTGAAAACCCTCCACTGCTTGCACTTAAACCTTACATCTCAAGTTGCAAAGACTGATGCTGGCTCCCTTGCGTGCCCACATCCAGCCCTTGATACCAGCCAGGAATAGCAACCACCAAACGACGATACTGTTCCCTCGTCAGTGCACAGTGTGGCTGTGTCCTGCGAGCTCTGGTATGCGCTGCCTGCCATGGCTGTTTCTGTATCTTGCTGCCAACGGCATGACTTCATTCAGCTGCGTGATGTTCCAGACAACACACCGCTGAAAATAGCGCTGGCACTTACCTGAGCTGCCAGTGCCTTCCGATGCACTTCTGGATGGTTTTGGCTGGCTCTGTTTGCTACTTGTTCGTACAGTGACCGACGGAGGAACAGTGCTGCTGCTGTCTCCACGGATGGTCGAGAGGTCCTGCATGCTAAAGCTCCTTAGTCTCTCAGACAAGGCTCCCTGTCCCTGGTTAAACAAGCAAGCAAATAAGACACACAAAAATTAGATCAAACTGTAGTTTGAACCGTTCTTCTCCCTAGCTCATTGAAATCCATCAGGAAAATAGGAAGAGAAAACATTGCCTGGTCCGGTAACCTAGAGAGGACATAAATGAGTTGTTAAAAACATCATTTCACCCTCTTTGCCCTTCTTTTTGCAGTGGTTTCTATGCACAAATTGGGATCATTCAAAATTTTGATGGACAGTATCTCTGATTCTTCAGTACAGTCATTTCAGCTCAGAGAGGCCTTGGCCACATCTGAAGGAGCAGGATGTTGCTGAGTCTTTCTTGCCGGTAGTTTTCTTCATTAGTATCTTAGATAAAGAGGTCCTTGGCTTCAGAAATGTAATTAAATGGTCTACATCAAAATAAATTCCTTTTAAAGGTAATTCTCCATGATGACATTCACCCAGCAGCTGTCAGTCATACAGAGAATTTCCAGAGCACGGAAAATTTGAAATCTTAAGGTAATAAAAAGTTATTCTTAAATGCAAAGAAATATTTTGGTGCTTTTTCATGCAGCTTAAGGAATAAATAAACTTACACCCTAATTTATTTCTTCTGAGACTAGCTCTCAATCAAGAAACAAACATATTCCTTGGTGAAAGGAACAGAGCTGTTCCTTCTAAATGAACCTTTAAAGGATACCTTATATTAAAACTACATCTTATCAAAAGGTTGGTTATCAGTGCACATCTTCTTGAGTTCTGTGATCCTCAGATCCTCACACAACACAATTGCCACAGAGCAAGAATGTCAGAAATTAGTCAATACTGAACCTACCTGTCCTTCTCTGTTGGCTGCATTAGGTGATATTCAGCATATAAACTGATATATATATATACCAGTTTAGGGAAAGATGAAAGTGGACCTCTGTAGGCTTCCTTCACCTCTTCTCCCAGGACTCACCAACCTCGTCATACACGGGACAGTTCCCTCTTTGCTTTGGTTTTCTCAGGGACAGGGGCAGAGAAGGGCCAGCCAGTCAGTTATATATATAAGGGCCAGCCAGTTAGTTATATATATTTATATATATATATATATATATATATATATATATAAACTGACAAAAAGTACACTTGGGTTTTAATTTTACACAGAGCCTGGCTCTAAAATTATTTCTGCTGGTGTCAGTTAAGAAAAAACAAGACACCCTACCCCACAGTACGACTGCACAGCCAGATCCCTAGCAAGAGATGGTTGGGAGCAATCAGACCACCAAACAATATTTTTCTGCTGCAGAATGACTGGAGCAGCAAAGCCAGGGGCTTAGCAATAGCTAAGGGGGTGTAACACGAGCGCTGTATTCCTCTTGTGCTACCAGCTCAAGTGTCAGCAGCACGCCAGCTTTTAACCTCCTCTCAGCCAGCTCGCCCAATATTACTTCCCCAGGAATATTTTAATTCCTTTTAATTCCCAGTAATATTAATTCCTTTTACAATAAGGACCTGGTACGTGCCTGTCTTTTCTTGATTTCTGCTTTAATTTTACCTGAGCTTGTTCCAGCAAGGATGGAGGCTGCTTATCACACAGGTAACAGCAAACATTACCGCTGCTACCGTGCCATGAAAGTTTGTCCAAACCTCAGATCCAGCAGGAACAGGAAGGGCTCAGGCTGAGCGATGACAGTGAGCACGTGAAATCCTGCTCACTTCCCATCCAGTCTTCTGCTTTCAGATTTTTGCACCTTCAGACTTTGCAGGAACAAGCTGGATTTCAGTGCTCGTAGGGCACAAAATAACACTTCGACCACAATTCTTTCCCAGTTGCCACATTTCTACTTGAGCCCAAATGGAAACACGACAGAAATTATGATTACAACAGAATCAGGACGGTTTCAAAGTAAAATGGCAATGCCATTACCAGCCCTTTCTCTGTCACATAAGCAACTGCTGTATATGAAATCACAAAGATTTGAAGGGACAACACTGCGAGGGTTTGCCCTGCTGCGGTTATATTTTAGCAATAAAGTCTTCATCCAGCTGTACAGACTATTATTCCACCATAAGACATCACTTATTAACAAAAGAGAAACCAAGATCAGAACAGATCTAGCACAGCAGACATCTCGGACTATGTTTGGTGAAAACAGTCAAGTGGCACATCGAGAGCAGCTGTCTGGGGGATTTTTGTTTACCATCTTGTCTGTGATCATACAGGTGCTCTTCCAAGTGCTACAGCCACAAGAGATGTCCCAGAGATTTTGGCAGGTGGGGTTTCGGTGGCAACAAATGGGTGCAGGCGTGTCTTTCTTCCCTGTTCACTACAGGGTATCTGCTAGCAAACTCATCGGATCTGCTGCTCCCTAGGAAAGCTCATCCCACAGCGGAGGGAAAGATGAAAGTGGACCTCTGTAGGCTTCCTTCACCTCTTCTCCCAGGACTCACCAACCTCGTCATACACGGGACAGTTCCCTCTTTGCTTTGGTTTTCTCAGGGACAGGGGCAGAGAAGGGCCAGCCCTCAACGGTACTGAACAGGACAAAAGGCAAATAGTAAAAAATACCAGCTCCCAGTAACTGATGTCAGTTGGTATCGACCTCATTCAGATGTGATCTACCAAGGATATCAGGTCGTCGTCCATCAACACATGGCCTTTTAAGCTGCACAAGCTTCTCTGGGATTCTAAGGGAACTTAAAGCTCTCATCCGTCCGGCACAGTAATTAATCTAAAACTAATCTGGGTACGTCTCTACCTGCTTTGGTCACAACAGTAGCTGTAGTGTTGTGATGTTGTACCTTACATCTCACGCCTAGCACATTCTCTCCTTATTTTCGCTTTAAAGAGTGGGGCAAAATATCCCAACAGTGAGCTTTCAGAGCAAGCTAACCTGCAGGCTACCTTCCCCTAAACGCAGCAGACTTATCTCCAAAAGTGATGTTAAATCTGCATGTCCAGGCCACAGACACCAACACAACCAATATGGCTTGGGAAAGAAAATCTTGGAAGGATCCAAAATCTGAAGCCAGTGCTGCAACAGGTACTCTGAAAGGCCCTGCATCAGAAATAGCTGGCGGTGTCTTAATTACTTGGCTTCTATAATTAATCTCTGCACTCACGTTTGAAGTGAAACCTTTTAGAGGGAGATGGATTTAGGAGTCTGGAATAACTGGGTTTATGTACAATAGGATTATGCATAGAAATTCCTCCACATAGGTAGGTAGCTTTACGTAGGCTCTAGGAAAATAAAATCAGGCACATCATTTTAAAACCTGCAATTTATATCACAAAGTCCCACTACCTCTGATCCAAATATAAACAAACAGCGTCTAGATTTTATCGTGCCGTCAGTCTGACGATCTGAAAGAAGTCTGTGGACATTATTTAGGCTTCAAAACAAATCTCTTAACTAGAGACTCCGTTCTGCTGCTGCAACAGCGTGGGGAAGAGACACGAATCAGGGATGAAAAATGTCAAGTCATACGAGAGAAGCTTTTAATACGCTCGGTGTTAATACAGGAGGGCACCTTCTGTCATGTTAATGGACAGGCAAGGGAACATTAAGCCACGCTCACTGCACTTCCAGCACCATACGAACCCTGTTAATGTCCCCTCTTTGCTGTAACTGAGGTTAGCAGTCAGTCCTTCTCCCCAGCAGCAGACGTGTCTGCATGCACGTGACAGCCACCAGCCTGCAGATATTCACCACGAGGTGTGGCACACACTCCTAGGACATGCTTGCAGAGGTGCTTCCCCACCTTTGGGCCAAGTCCTGGCCTCACTAGCTCCACGTCAACCCCAACCAGGCTGATGGGATCGCAGCAGTGGCAGCGCCAGGCTGCCTTTACCCATCAGTGGGAAAACAGAAGCAAACACGGCAGCAACAACCCGAGTTAGATGGGTTTTCCACAAACACAGCTCCGCCTGGCTGCTGGCATCTCTCTGACTGCCAGCAGAGGACCTGGAAGGCGTTTTGCTGTTGTGATCAAGGCTTTTAGAGCACAGCACACAGGATCTACCTACGGGAAGCGGAGCAGACAGCGGCTGGCCTCAGAGCAGCCTCAGCTGAAAACAGCTCAAACCACTCCTACGGGGAGGCAGATGTTGGTTAGAGGTTAATGTAAGCACTCAGCAGATTACCTGCCCTTTTTTCTGGTCCAAATACAAGTAACTGATGTCAGTTGGTAAATGAAGCAGCTGAGAGACCTAGCAAGGGAAAAAGAGAGCAAGTGTGGCAACAAACGTACACGCTTTGACACAAAGAGAGATTTTAGCACAAGGAACCGAGGTGAGGCGTGAGCACGAGGCTGGGCACTGCTGTACGGGGACTCACAGACAACAAGCAGGGACACCCAGCTGTGCACTACCACCCTCAGCTCCCCCAGAGGGGTGAAGAAGCCACCCCACAACCCCAGCTGACAGGGTGCAACCTAGGAAGTGTGTTTGAAGAGTTCAGCAAATTCTAAAAGCAACGGGCACCTCACAGGTGCTTCCCACTGGAGAAACCCCCAGCATCCAGCCTCCTCCAGACTTAAAACCATTAAGGACAGAGCGTGTTTATGACTAATTTAGGCCGGATTAGGTGAAGGATGCTCCGCAGTCATTTTAGACCTGGTGACTGAATGTTTTTTCTAAGGAGGAGGGCAATGCTTGTGCCCAAGCTTACGGTGCCTACCTGCAGAAGGTCCCACCAAGAGCAAACCCGCCGGCTTTGGGGGCTGAATTGGGGGCAGGTTTTTTCTGCCCTTGTCAAACCACACGAACACAAAGAACCTACAAGCAATGTCCTTACGGCCAGGGCCCGTGTGCCGTGCCTGGCTGAGAGCAGCCACGCCGTTTGGGGGTGTCAGGCAGTGCTGAAGACTCCAGAGGAAACCGGCTGGCTTTAAAGCTGATGGTGGAAACTTGACTTCATCCACCCTGCCTGTTGGCATTTCCTCTTCTGGGAACTGCTTGTCGCTGCCTCTCCCAGCCTGGGCTCTGTCTGAATTTGTTGTTTGGTGCCGTGCATTCGTTGGCTATTGTCTGCTCCTCGAGACACCAGCGTAAGAGCCAACAAGATGGAAAAGCTGCAATCAGCTGCTTGGGTTGTAGCTCTGCGTGGAGGTTTTATTGATTTGGGGGGGAAGTCAGTTTCTTGAGACCTCAGAGTGAAAAATGCATTGTACAATAACAGGAACAATTCGGGAAATAGTGGTCAGTGGCAGCACGTTTCAAGAAAGTTGTGTGTTATTACTCTTTGATGGTTTAATACAGTTCAGCCACGAGATCGCTGGTTTTGGACCCCACGTGGAGATCCTTTAAAGGATGCTATTTTCAAAAGGAGTGTGCAGATAACACTGACAGGTCCACATAAATTTCTCAGACTCTGTACTCTGAACCACTCCTGACTTCTGCAGCTCTTGGCCCTGTTACAGACCAGAAGCAGCACTAAGCAGGCTGGACAGAAGCGTCCTGTGACACACTGGGTGAGCAAAGAAACTCTCCCTGCAAGCAGTGGGACCTCACTGTTACAAAATCCCATTACAAATCCCTTCTCTTACAGGGATGGATGCTCCCTGCCTCTCTCTTTCCCAGCTGAAGTACAAGTGCAGTTCTCCACTGCCGTGGCACACAGGCAGCATCTCTCTCCCACAGGTTTGGGTTTCCAACTCCCACTGTAATACTTCTGACTTTGGGTTTCTGACCCTATTTCCTGACGCAAGAAAGGCTCCTGGAGGGTTTCTCAGCACCAGCTGCTGTGCCAACACTCCCTGCCCTACACACAGGAGGGAAGAGGAAGGGCTGAGGAAGGTCAGGTATCAGGAACCGTGGCCTTGTGATGGCTGCAGGACGTTTTCTGCAGCTCTCCTTTATGACAAGCGGAGCTGTGGCTAATGGCACTGACCTGTTTGGCTGAATTCATTTATCCAGGGTGAGGAATGAGGGAACGGGATCTGGGAAAACCAGGACCTTAAGGAGAGGGTCGGTGAGCTGGGGAGAGTGTAAAAGTGGTGATGGGAGGGTTGTAGGGACAGAGTAAAGGATCTGTGCCGAGCACCTAAGCAGGGGCAAGGAGACAGCAATCTGATGCTCTGTCTGCTGGGACAGCACCAAAAATAGATTCTATAGATAGGGAGGGGAGCAGAAGGGAAGGGAAAGAAGCCTGCACTTGGCTAACCATGGTGGTGTTTAGGACAGAAAGGGGAAAGGGATAAGGGAAAGAGATAAGGAACATGCACGAGGCTGCGCTCAGCTTGCAGCACCTTAGCCTGTGATAAATATCTAAGTAGCAGCCTGTCGTGTACAGTGATCAGAGAGCCAGCCTCCCCGTGCTGCACTGGGGATAAAAAGGATGAAAACACAGGCCTTGAGCAAAGATCTCATCACCAAAGAGAAGAGATCGTGGGTCTGGACCGCTGTGGGAGCACAAAAAGTCAGCTACTGCAGCTCGGAGAGACAGGAGAGGGCAGGGCTATGCACAAGGGGAGACACCTCCAAGAACTTTAGACCTAAAATCATTTTAGATCCTTTTAGATCCTTTTAGATTTAGATCCTTTAAATGCCTTTAGATCCTTTTACAGGTTGACTTGTTACAGGCTGAAACCCAGTGACTCCTCTGGGAGTCACTTCCCAATCTACACCCCACACTTATCAGGGGTTGCTGGATACCCTTAAACCTCCTACAGGGGAAGCCAGGATAAGGCTTACCAATAGGATTCTCCTTCCCCCTCCCTGGAAACTTTTCCAGCACCGCAGGCTTATTTGCCACCTGTCAGCTCAGAGTGTTTTCTAGATAATTAGCCCTCCAAACTTCACTCACACAGGATAATCTCCCTCTGCTACACCTCCCTCTCAAGTGGGCAAGGAAGGGTGGTGACATACATTCACCAGCAGCTGAAAAGAGTGAGAAGGTATTAAGGGTGCGGTGCCGTGAGGAGCAGAGCTGAACTGCCTCCTTCCCAGCGCCAGGAAGGGGGGATCTCACTTTCCTTCCTCCAGCCACACTCCTGTCCCTTCCCTTCTGTGGCTCAGGCCCTCAGGCATCAGTCCACACTCATGGGCTCCTTCATGTATTAAAAAAAAATCACTACTCCCTTTCTTTCTCTTTCTGGATTAGTTTTATGATACCTTAGAGGTAACCTGAGGAGGTCCAAAAGGCTGGTGCAGAGTGACCCAGTGGGAGCAGGAGCATTGCCCTGGTTTTTGGAAGAGGAGAGCTGTTAGATTAGCTCCCCTTGTCCCTGGAATCGCACCCTGAGGAGCACAGAAGCAAGCAACATGCTGGGGGCCACGTGCTGAAGTGGTGAAAGAAGTCAGGAGTCCTGTTTTTTCTCAGGTATTCAGAGTCACTTAAATCTCAAGGCTGAAGCAAAGACGTGAACAGTCCTTGCTTTACCATAAAAATAAATTACTCAACCCAATGACTTCCTCTCGCTCATTTTCCCATCCCCAAGGTAGTGTGCAGAAGAGATTCTTCTGGTCCATCACAGGCAGCAATATTTTATCTGTTTTCTCTCCAGTTAGGCCGGCAGATGTGCCACAGGAATCACAGCATGGGTTGGTTTCTTCCAGCAATGAAAGGCAGCTTCATCATCTCAAGCAAAGCAGCAGCTTCCTTGTACCCTGGAGGGTCTTCTCCCTTCTGCCCAGCTTCCTGCTGCCACCGGAGCTGCATTTCACGGCAGTGAGAATCTTAAGAAACACCAGAAAAGCAGAACAAAGCAGAACAGCAGGAAGAAAAACCGTGGTGCTGGCTTTTCTTTCAGGTTGAAGAGCTGATGAAGGCGTTGTTTCAGTCCCAAGATGAACAGGTGGGCCCTGTGGGCCTGGACACCACAGAGTTTTGCATATTTGGGGGCTACCCAACAAGGAATCAGTTTCTTTGGGATTCACACATTGTTTCTCACTCTGTCCTGAAGGACAGCTCTAGCAGAGAGAGTCTGCAGCACGCTGTAGGAAGCAGAGGCAGTGCTGCAGAGCAGGCTTCCCCGGAGCCTATTTACGTCCATGGTGTGACTTCTTCAGGTTTACATAACAGCACTGAAAGCACTGCTGCCACGGGGGTGTCACACAAATGGTGTGGCCTTGGGCACAAAGCACAGAGCTTTGCCTTAGCACCACGTTTATCCTACCTCTCAGTCCGGGTTTGGATTAGCCAGCAGTCCCCGTTTAGCAGAGCAACAGCTCAGAAGAATGAGACAGGCCTGACAGCAGGGTAAAAGAAGGCAATTTGGGGCTTTTCTTTGGAACAGTTTTTGCATATCCTTGTCATCCTATGTGTTCATGGCATATCCCAGGGGCTCCCACTTCTATAACGTCTTCAGTTCACCACGCTTAATAGCCTGCACACATTTAGCATCCCAAGGATGTATTACTCATTTTTACAGGAGATGAGGCCAGGAAATACTAAATGATGTGCCCAAGGTCGTACAAAAAGCATTTGGCAGAGGGAAAGAGTTTCCTTCAACTCCCATTCATGAGTTTTTCCTAATATCAACATCCATCTTGTCCACATGTTTCTACACTCCTTTTGCAAGGGGCATTGTATTTGCACAGGAACTCTCTTTTCTACAAGTTTTGCCCCCAAAACATCAAAGTATAGCTGCTATAGCTGCACATCCACGCTCAGCCATGGTAATCCACGGCCAGAGAGCAGAACCACCAAACACAGTTATCAATTCCTTGCAGCTTTTATGCAAAGAAAGAGATAAAAGCTGCTGTCTGGCTCTGGCTCGAAGCCAGGAACAGAGCACAGGATACGCCTCTTCAGATGAAGCCACTCTCCCAAAAACACCTAACCCCACGTCCCGTGCACTCTTACATAACAGCAGCACGTCTCCAGAGAGTTATACACCAGGTTATGTCATGTGTAAACCCTGCAGCCTGTCAGTACCTGAATTAGAGCTCAGTAGATGCTCCAGATTTCTCAACAATTCAGCGTAACAACTGATAAACTGCAGGGCAGGTGGCCTTTCCCTTCCCCAGCAAGGGGAAAAAACTCTTCCCCAGGACAGGGTGCTGTGTCCACCTGGAGTCAGCATCTTCCATGCTCCTATTTTGGCAGTGAAAACTAAGAGCTGTGATGCACAGCATTGCTAACGTTGTCGCCTGGGTACTAAATGCCATGGAATGTATAAAAATTCAGCAGAGGCCTGGGGCAGCCCCTGGCCTTAATCCTGCATTTTCCAACCTCATGGAGGTTCCCTGAGCACCACCCTTACTTAAGTGTCTTTAGCCCAAGAGGCACCTGTGTGGCTGGTGAATGGGAGAGAGGGAGGCATGATAAAAGCCAGTGACAGGATCCCCACCTCTGCTCTGTCTCCCCCTCCACATTGTGGCTGCCGTTGGCAATGGATGCAGATGAATTGGACTCGATTATCCTTATGGTCCCTTCCAACTGGGGATATTCTATGATTCTGTGATTCTATGAGATGTTAACACCCCCATCCTGACCCACAGCCTCACCTTGGAAGCTGCCATGACAGCCGCCGTGGCCGCGACGTTCAGGCCCCGCTTCCCGAAGTGCACGAGGGCATCGTAGCTCCGGTCTTTTGCCTGGACGAGGCAGTCATCGATCTCCTGTCACAGCAGACAACAAAATAAATGAACAAACAAACAAAAAAAAAGCACAAAAGGGACAAAATCAGAGTGGTCCCAGCCTCAGACCCTCGGCAGGGCCAGGTCATCTGTCATAGAGGTAGACATGCTCCATTTCCCCCACCTTGGCTGGAGAGAGGTTCACAGCCAACGTTTGCAAAGAGGAAGGGTTTGCAGGGGAGCAGTAACTTCCATTTCAGCTTTTTTCTGTGAATGGAAGATCGGGACCCAAAGCTGGGATACATTTACACAAGGAAACCACCATGCAGAGGTCCTGGAGGCAGGACAGACACCTCCACCTGGGCAGAACGGGCCAGGGTGTGTTGTTGCCAACGGCAGTCTGTAGACTCTGAAGACAAATTGGGTTGCCCTATAGTTAAAAAGGAGTCACAATATGATGCTGGGCAGCTGCAGCTCTACTGCCCTGGGGCCAGGACTGATGCTCTCAGATGTATCTGAGATCTCTTTGCACATTGCTGCAGTGTCCGGCTCCAACACGTCCATGGAAATGGGTGGTTCAGAGGTTCTGGATTTTGCTCAACATGCAGTGAAAGTCCCTGTCTTTGTGCTCCCCACCCCAAGACACAAGGGCCTGGATGATGATGGATGATGATGAGTTTCAGTGCTAAGCTACTAGATGGGCTGGGTTAGCAGGAAATGCAATCTGCGAGAAGCTCTTGGCTTCTTAGTGATCCCTTCCCTATATCTGGTAGATAAGAGGTGGCAACCCAAAATGCACGAGCACAGTTTGTGAGATGCCTAAGCAGAAGTTCCCAGGAAGCAAAAAGAGGACTGATCCCCACTGTTCTTCTTGGACAGGACTGAAATCAGCTGTTCATGTGCTGCTTATGGCTTAAACGAAGATCTTTCACTGCCATAGCTGGCAATGTGGGAAAGGGTTATTCACTTCTTGGCAGTTTGTACGTTGATGTGTGACTGACAGCTATCCTCAGCCCACGGATTCACGTGAGCCAAATGGATCTGCCTGACAATGTCCCGTTCACAGCCACAGGAGTCTCCTAGGCAGGCAAATGATTCAAGCTGTAATGTCTCTTCTGAAATTAATACCGTGAATTTCAGCAGGCCATTTCTCAAACCAGGACCTCAACATGCTGCGTCTCTCCCAGCCTGGCAAGTGCTCACTAAGCCCCTTTCTGGCAGGCTGGACTATTTTGTCTCGTTGCTGCACAGAGCTGGGAACAAAATAAAGGAGCCCTGGCTGCCAGAACCCTGCTTCTCTAAATCATTACGTCCAGCCACAACACAGCTCTCTAGCTATATTCAGCTAGTACGTGCAAAGCAGCTCAGGAGGCGTTTTCATTCCCCTCCCTCCCAGCTTCTCAAGTGCACGAAGATGAACTAATGCATGTGAGCGAGCTGAACAGATGCCAGTATTTATGAAAAAAAACAGCAAAGGACAAAAACACCGACCAAAAAGAGATGATCAAATGACAGAGGAAGAGAATCAGCAGCTCCCAGTCCTTCAATGAAAATGAGTGATATGAAGATGGAGCAAACACACTGCAGATTGTTTCCACCCAAGCAGGACTTGGGCACCTGTGATTACCTTTTCTTTTGAAGACAGTGTTGGGTGAACAAATTTCCTGTACAGGAGGCTGGAGCCTTTTGTGTATGGAGACAGCAGCCAAGCTACAAAAGCTATTTTGAGCTCATAGTAGAATGGAAACCTAGAAGAAAAAAGAGCTGTTAATGTCCTCTCCCAGTTCAACCACGGCTCTTGATTAGAGATGCTCGGCACAACCCAGTGGGGCTGGCCAGGCTGGTTCTGGGCAGCTTCTGCTCACCGAAGAACCCAAAGACCAAAAGACATCCTCTCACCTCTGCACACATCTCAGCTCGTCCTACCTTTACTCAGGTATCAGAGCCATTAGTTCATGGTCTGGAAGAGACTCCGCGGAGAGCACAGATGCTGCCTCCATAGCATTGCCAGAGGAAGCACAGAGCAAACCAGCAGATCAGTATTTCGTTGATATTTTTATGCACCTTTCAGCTCTCTGCCTTTCTGTTTTGTCCTAGTTTCAGCTGGGATGGAGTTATTTTTCCTCATGGTAGCTGGCACAGTGCTGTGTTTTGTATTTAGGATGAAAATGGCATTGACAACACACAGATGTTTCAGTTGCTGCTAAGCAGTGCTTACACTGGAGCAAGGAATTTTCTGCTTCCTTCCTGCTGACCCAAACTGACCAAAGGACTATCCCATACCACACAATGTCACGCCCAACAATAAAGCTGGGGGGATTTGCCTGGGGACTGGCTGGGCTGGTGGTGAGCAATTGCATTGTGCATCACTTGTTGTTGTTTTTTTTTGTTGTTTGTTTGTTTGTTTTGTTTTGTTTTACTATTTTTTTTCCATTTTTCCTATTAACTGTCCTTATCTCAACCCACGAGTTCTTGCACTTTTACCTTTTTCGACTTCCCTCCTCCTTCCCACTGTGTGGGGAGCGAGCAAACAGCTGTGTTCAACCACAACTAAGCCAGCTGGGCCACACAGCATCCAGGCCAGACCCACTGGGTCTCTGTGATGCTCTACCACGAGCATGGACCTGGCAAATGGACCTCTTCCACCTCCGTGGGGATCTCTGTGGCATACTTGATTTCACAGGCTGGGCAAGACCCTTGTCATTCCTCCAGAGAGACCCATATCATACATCCTCCAAAAAAAAAAGACTCCAGATGAGCACAGTGGAGGTAGATAAAGAGCCAAAAATGTCTTATCTCCTCTCCAAGGGCTCTGACATGCTGCCAAGTCCCCCCCACTCCCTGGAGGCACGCGGTGCTGTGCTGGAACTGCTCTAGGTGAGGGCCACGCACCACCCTTAAATCTTCAGCCTTAAGCCTCCTGAGCTCGCTGGTTTCCCCTAGCTTAGAAGATGCTCTACTAAAGGGCAATGAAGCAAACATTTCCAAGCTTGAGCATCCAAATTTAAGCAACTGAATCTGGTAATTGGGCATTCGTGTGCTCTCACCCTGATGGAGGTCACCAGCATCTCTCCACTGGCACCAGCGAGCCCTCGGCAGTAGGGACTGTCACTGCTCTCCAGGAAAGGGCCTGACAAGACATCTGAAGAGCAACAACCCATGCAGAAAAACCTAGACACAAAGTCCTGTGCTGCAGGGCTGTTTCTGCCTGATCCTAAAGTCAGTGTAGTTACTGTAGGACACATCTGCCTAGGTTCAGAACTGTGCCTGTAGCTAAAGCTACGGGTTTTTATGTGATCTCTGCAAGCATCCAATTCAGCCATCGGATGTGCATCTGACACAGACCTATTTCCTAAAGCCAGGGGACAGAGACTCCTGTAACGATTTCTTGTGGTTCTACCCTTTTTCTTCCATTTCATGACAGCACCGAGAAAGCAAACGTGGCTTTTCCAGACAAAACACCTCTGTGCACCCGAAGATGCTACTCCCATGTTCAGGAGACAGTGAGCTAGCTCTTGGGCTCTCGTTTTCCCTTACAAACACTTCCATTTTCTTTCCATCCCAGGTCAAAGACTCCTTCCCCTGTGGTACTCACCAGCAAAGAAAGATGTCCGTGAACGTCTCTGCTGTTGTGAAGAGCGCAAATATGATCCAGTACATCATCCATTTGACCTGGCAGAAGACAGAGGCAGCTTTCAGTAACAATCATTTTGCCCCAAGAACCTGTAAGCATCTTGTACAGGCATAAGTGCAGAGACCAACCTGCACAGAAGAAAAGCTTTATATTTATTAATCCCTAAGGACTTGATGATGCCGGGGTTCCCCCACCTCATAACACCCATCAGATTTCCACGCAAACCCTTGGGAAGGAAGAATCCAGCCTTAAGGACTGGTCTCATGACAAGGAGGACAGCTTGACACACCAAAGAGTCCCTACAGAGGAAGCTCCTCTGGCCAGGAAAGAACCACAGCCCTGTCACAGGGCATTAAAAACCTCACTTGGCTCATCTTAACAACAAACGTTAGTACTAGGGTGTGGACTAAATTGCAATTAAGACAAAATGTACTTACTGCCATAATATCTACAGGCAGGGGAAAGTGTCCAGGAGGAGGCAGAGAGACCCAGCCCAGGACCCAGGAGCACAGTGATGGGAGCACAGCTCACTGAGTGAGCATGCAGCAGTGGTGCCTGCCCACGTACATACCCTTAGCAGGGGCATTGCAGGGACAAGAGCAAGTGCTTCAGCTTAAATCCCCTGCTCAGGGCTTAGGTGAGAGCATTTTGCCTCACACCGGTGGCAAAAGCACACGCTGCGCTGTCACTGTGTTCACCCACTGATAGTTCAAAAAGCTTTAATTGTCTGCATCTCCAAGGAAAAATTAACTGTTGTTTTAACATCATTTTAATTGAAATTGTTATCTAGTTGGCTATATTTCAGAATAGATATTCCTATGGAATTTTCTGTTTTAGTTTTTAAAAAAAACACCACCCCAACATCAAGTCATTCTTGTTTGGAAAAATGAACTGTACAAAGAGAGAAATGCAGCCAGGATTCCTGAGTGGCTTTACAGCAATATCAGAAAGCTTAAGGGAGCAAAATCCGTGACATCTCTGAATTAGAGAACTGCAACGTGCTACCTAAGGCTGGGATAACTGCAGTAAAATGAGGGGAGGCTGGAAAGCAGGCAGTGGGTGAGGGCCACCTAAACCAGGTGCTGCTCTGGGGAAGGACACTTGAGATGGCAATAAATCTGAAATGGCTTGCCCCATCCCCTGCCCTGAGTGTGGGGACAGTGCCGGGAGTGTCTCTCCATCTGCCTACAAGTACTGAAATTATTCCCTGAGCACTGGTCACCCAGCTGTACGCCCGCTCCCCCTGCATTTATATTTATATTTATGTATTTATATTTAGTGTTACAGCAGTGGAGTGGCAGTGCCAAACGCATGGGAGAGTTGTGTTCCCAGGGCAGCTTCTGCCAGACTTTTTACATAACTGTGACTCCCTCAAAGCCTCGCTGCCAGCACGGTTCTGTCAGCTCCACGTCAATGCCAGCAAAGCTCTTAAACACTAACGGAGATCTGGTGCGGATGGGCCTAGATTGGCCTAAAACAACATCGATCAAAACGACTGTTACTAAGCAGAATAAAAATAAACCACGGTGATATAAGTTTAGACTCATACACGGAGGTTTGTACTGTGGCCGTGTAAACAGCTTCTTTTCTTTCTAATCGGGCTGCTGACTAACCTGCCTCCAACTGGTGTGCCAACTGAAAAAGAGTTTTAAGTGTAGACCGGGTCTTAGACCAGTTGTTCCCACACTTGCGTCATGATTTGATACGTGAGTTTCTCTTTTGCAATTGAATTTCTAACAGGAATTGGACCCTTAAGCTAAAGAATTGCCAGGAAGGACTTAGGGAGGTGGTGCCTATCAGTGGCGGACACGGGGGATCTCGGCCCTTCCAAGCCAGGGGTGCACAAAGCTTGAGAGGCACAGCTGCACGAGGGCTGTGGGGACACTTTGCCCTAAGTATCTGATGCGTTCTCTAACATTTCTGATTCCCAAAACATCAAAAATTATTAACTGGTGGATAGGAACAAGAAAATGGAAGAATCTAAGCAGCCACGGTGAGCCCCAGGCTGAGCTCACACCAAGGACTTAATGGGATGGCCATCTAGGCTGTTTCCCAGAGGAGAAAATGGCCTTGTTACCCCTGGGATGCTGAGAGGACTGAAAAATCAGGATCAGGAAGCTGAGCTGGGTTCAATGAATTTAACAGGGCTAGGTTGTGCAAATCCTACAGGACTCCAACAGCACCCAAGTGGTTTTGATTCTCTCCAGTTTCACTTTCTCTAAATTCTGCTTTGAGAAACTGGGAGCCCAGGAAGATTTTTTTTTAGTAAAAGGACAAGACAGCACAGCCAGCTGCCAGACGTGCCTGTAAATAGGTCACTCCACAAGGAAGGATGTTTCTGTCTGCAGATTCAGTCACAGGCACTTCGAGCTGCCTCTTCTGATCCTTGTTTTGAATGAGCAGCTAGAGCTTCAAGGCTTTTTGAAAAGGCTTTGATTTATACTGCTCCCTCAGAAACAAAGGAAAACACGCACAGCTCTGGGTGCCAAACAGCTTTTATGTCTGCTGCATATAGCTCGCACCACCAGAGAAATGGCATGCGTTTGTCAAAGGGTGCACCAATCCTGCAGAGGAGCCAGAAGCAGGACCCCAAGTCATTTTATTTGAGACTCTGCCTGGCAATCGGGCAGCCCACCTTCAGGACAGACTTGCGAGCTTTCCCAGAGTCCAGGTGACACCTTTACAAGGTGATCAGGGGCAATCTTAGAAAACAAACCCTGCAGCACAGCCCCAGATCCCATTACTCACATATTCTTTGATGTCCTTCGATTTCACGGCTTTGTAAGAATAATACGCTGGGTAGAGAGTGCCAAAGATAAGCCTGGAAAAAAAAAAAGAAGGATAAAAATAATTAAATTGACTTCCTCTCAGACAGATATTATTATTTTTGATTTGTTAAATGTATTTCTTGCATTAGTAAAAAATGTTTGGACCCACTTCAAGCTTGAGTGCACTAAGTACAGGATAGGGCTCGTTTTGCATCATTGCATTCAGAGAACACGTTGCCATTGCCATGAATTGAGGAATTCAGGTTGTTGTTCCTTTTGGAACGGTTTCTAGAGCTGTACTTTATGAGTTCCACACCAAAAAAAAGGACCACCACCACACTTTAAAAAGGGAAATGAAAAATCTGGTTTTGAAATAATCCAGTGTGACACCAGGAATGCAGCAATATTGCTTTCGGAGGCAGGACAAAACGAGATCTGTTTATCTAAAATCCTTTCAAAACCCCTATTCAAAACTCTGAAAAGCTGGTGGAGAATAAAGTGGCATCCAAATGGCACTGGCCAGAGGGTTTGAATGCTGGGGCCTTATCCTACATTTAACTTGCTAAGGAGAATAACCCTGTGCTGTTGTGTGAAGTTCATTTCAGCTCATTATAGAAGGAGGAATTTGCCCACCAAGACATGCCAATAGGATCATTCCTGAAATCTCCCCTCCTTTCAGGCGGTTTCCTTCCAGTTCCAAGCCTGCAAGGGAGGCTGTCAGCTTCCAGATTTCATGCAAGGAAGAAATAAGGATCCTTACGTTAAAAATAGCACCGCAGGGAAAAAAAAAAAAAAGAGAGATTTCTATCCTAACTCCTCTCTGCATCACTGCCTGGCTGCGTGTTCACTTCGATTATTCTCGACGTAGGCATAGGCTTGTCGGAAACGCTTTGCCCTGCCCAGGTTTTATTCATTGCAGCAGGATGATGCTGCAAAGTCTGAATTTAACAGGCTGCAGGGGAATGTTTATTGGCTTTCAAATCCCCCCCCTTTCCACCAGAGCTCTTGCTTTACACCCATATGGCTGCTTGTGTCGCTTTTGGGAATGGAAAGGATCGATGCTTCAGCCCCTAATTGTGGGGCCGCAGTTGCCTTTTCCATTCTGCCAGGAGTGTTTGTGTGCCGGGAGACCCGTAATTACAGCTGAGTCCATTACTGTGCATAGGACATTAAAAATTAATACTCTGGGATGCGGCGTGCCGTTGTGCTTCCCATAGCTCAGGAAGGTATGTGGGAAAGACTGGAGTGAGCCAGCACACGCCTTGATATCCAGAGTGACCAAAGACAATCTGCCTGCTGTTCATCATGCCTGCTGTGGCAGAGCTTAGCAAAACCTGAAGCACAAAGCAGGCTTCAGAAAGGCAGCTACTGAGGGAGGGGATTCAGCATTTCACGAAGGCTTCACGCTGGTTTCAGAAAGGTTGGCTGGAAACAGGCAGCTCCGAAGCTGTTTCGCACCCACGGGGGCTGTGCTGCGTGTAAGGGTTAGTACGAATGCTCAGAAAGATTTTGGGAAACCAACTGCATTGATCACCCTGGAAATATCATAACAAACACCGGGTAAGGTGCAGGGAGCAACACGCAGACAATGCCTCGATGCTGTTTGCACTGAAGCTAATAACAAATATTCCCTCCGAGTTCAACGGCAGCAGGAGCTACCCCGAGGAATTAGTGCTCCGAAAAACTCCACAATATTCCAAAAAACGGCCAAACACATCCATAATATTTTTGGCTCTGCTTAGGAAAAAATACCACATCTCTACCCTTCCTTCTTGGCCTGGCCAGGCTGCCAGCATCACGCTTTTATTTCCTGCAACTCATCACCGAGTGATCGATGTTCATTTCCTCGGATTTTGGCTGGAAACAGTAAGTAACTGGATCCCAGAGAAGCAAACGCTTTGTGGGATCGCGAGACCCGGATTAGCTGCAGACAATAACCACTTGAGAAGATTCCTGCAAGGGAAGGAAACTCCGCAGTGCTTTTGCATATGCAAAGCTGGAGGAGCGGTAGCCAGACGATGTGCCCTGCCTAAATTGGAGATTGCGAGCTCGCCCGGCGTGCTGTGTGCTTATAAGGACATTCCCCGCTGCTGTGGTTTACCAGGCTGAAGGCTGCTTTGGGGAATGTTGGAGCCCAGCCTGTTGCTGCTGCAGCTTATGATGAGGCCCGGAGCCACCTCACCTCTGTGTATGCCATGCAAACTGAAAAAGAAAGATATTTGGGTGTTTCTGGAAGGCACGCGCAGGGTTAGGGAGACAAACACCTGCACACGGACACGTTCCAACGTTTTGAGGTTTACTGCCTTCACCAGGCTTGAGTAGAGCAGATTTAAGTCACACGCACACAGCAGCCCTTTGCCTCCGCCCCCCAGTTCCTCTCTCTGCTGAGGACAATACTCGTCTCTTCCCCCTCATCCAGGTTTCCTGTGCAATCAGTTATCTTTGGTGCCTGCCTTCCTCCAGCCCCACGCTCGAACCGCTGCCAAATTGCTCCTTCTGCACGGCACACACACAAACAAGCCCGATCTTTGTCCCTCCGCCCAGGCCACCAAGCCCTTCCCTGTCTAAGTCCCCTTCCAGCCTCCCCGTGCGATTTACTGATCAATATTCTCACCTTCCCCTTCCAGTGCCTGAAAAATGTTGCTCCTACCAACCCTTGCTTTGGTCCTTTAGCTGGTCCCGCTCTGTCCCTCCTCTCCTTTAGCAGCTGTAGTGCCACCAGCTTCGCACTCTGCTCTTTGTTGCATCTTCTCCCATGTGCTGGACCTCCCGTGCTCCTTGTTTCTCCGTTGTGTGCCGACCCATCGCTTCTAAATCAAGCTGGTGCCTGACAAAATCACCGTGACAGCCCAAATCTAAAGGGCAGCAGCCCAAACCATGCCAATTCCAACCCTGCTGCTCCCCAGGTCCTCCTCGTGCCTCCAGTCTCCTTCTGGAGGAGCTCTGCATCTCGAAAAAGGCCAGAAGAGCAGCTGGAAAGAAATCACCGACGAGTCAGCTAATTGTGCAACAGGAGGCAAAAATCTAAGTAAAAGGTTAGCCTGCCTAAAGAGGAGGATAAGGATTAATGCTGGAAATCTTATAATCCTATTAGGCAGAGCAGCAGCAGTCCCCGATCTGGACTGCCATGTGCTCTTCTGGTCGGTGTTTGTCCAAAGGGACACAACAGATGCAGAAGGGGAAAGGAGAAGGGCGGTGAAAGCGTGTGGAAGCGCACCAGGGAAGATCCATAAAAGCAGCTAATTGCTCTGTAAATCGTTTCTCCTACAGCAAAGACAACTGAGGTTAGAAGGGGGAAGCACCAAAATACCCAAAGAGCGTGGAAAAGGAGATGCAGGTGCTCCTACTGCTCCTGCTTCTGCTGCAGCTTGAGGGGATGCTCAGCTACATGAAGAGAACCGAGTCAGGAGGAGGAGGAACTCTCTCTATCGCACCGAGCTGATCTGTGGAGCCAACTGGATTTGTTTATGCAGTCACACGGCACAGGATTGGGATTGGTTTTTGTTTTCCTTACTCAAGTTCAGCACTAAACGACACAGGAAAGGACAAAGCTTCCTGTATCGCGGGGTTTCCTGATTACCAGGGGAATACTGAAGCAACCGAACCCTTGGCTTCTCTTCAGCAGCCTCTGGCACGCTACAGGGGAGCAGCTGCAGCAGCACCAAACCTCCTCCTGTCCCACTTACCGGCACAGCCACACTCCACCCTGGCTATCACGTCCTTCCTCTTCCTCCTGTGGCTCTCCCAGTGCAGCGATCTGACCTTCAGAGGCTAAGCAGGACGTGGCCACACTCCTAACAGCGCGTACTTGGGGATCGGCACCGGGGCTGGCAGGGCTTCGTGCGACATCTCGAGTGCTGATGACTTGGTGGTGCTGCTTTCCTCATCAGGGGCCTGTTCCTACAGCCACGTCCACGTAACGCTAACTTACATCAGTGCAGCAGCCACTGAAACACGTGGAAAATCTCAGCAATTCCCACGGGCACTGACCAGGACTGAGAAAACCTCCAGGAACCCCTGTGGATCTGTATTTTCTGCACGGCAACCTGCTCTTACAAACGCACCCGCACAGCTCCAGCCGTGTCCCAAGCCAGCCAGGTTGTGTTCATCCAGTTACTGTGCCCAAACATTTGGTACATTGTCATGTTGAACGGAACAGCCCTTATTTTCCCCCAAATAACTCATGTTTCCATACCCTCAGCACCCGGCAGCCAAGCTGACCAGCTTCTGCTCGAACCCAGGGATGGACACGTGCAGGAATTGCTGAAATATTTCCTCTTTCCTCAGCATGTTCGGTGGCTGGTGCACGCTTCTTGTGCATGGAGCAGCAGCTGAGCTGTCACCACGCCAGCATTCCTGGCTGAGACCGTCAAGAAGGGTGCCAGGAGGTCCGGGTCCCTCATTATCAGCCCCAATTAATGCTTGCACAGCGCCCCAGATTAAAAATAACCGGCACCATCTCTGCGCCCTGGGTTCCCGGTTTGAATCTGACAGCTGCGGATGCGAAAATAAGCAGGGCACGAGGTCAGGGAAGGGGCTGACACGGTCACTTAGGCCAAACCCGGAGAGCCACAGAGGGATTGGGGCACGGGAAGCACCAGCTGCAGAGGAGGAGGCTCCAGGCTGGTATTCCCCGGGAGACGGCTCCTGCACATCCCTCGTGGTCATTTTGCAGCAGAATACGTCCTGCACGGTGGCTCCAGGAACCGTCCCGTTCACCCTGGGGGTGACAGCTGGCACTGCCCCCACTGCAGAAATAGCAGGAGCGAGGGCTGGCCTTGGCGCTTCTAATTTAAGTTGTTTTGATCCTCCCTGAGCAGAGCACGCTCCTCTCCAGTTAACGCCACGTTTTTCCCCTCCTCACACGGGAGGCACAAAGAGGTGAAGAGCTGACAGGCTCTAAAATTCGCTAAAATGCAACACGGATGGGGAGACCTTACGAAATATTGGGGTTGTTAGGACATTAGCACCTGATGAGTGCTGCTACCAAACCGACCAGCAGTGAAGCACCTCCCAGTGCTGACATTTCCCCCGACACCCCTCGGTGCCGCAC